TTATATATCTTTGGGGCCATGCAAACCCTCTGATTACAGATAATGATCTACATCATGGGAAGGGGTTGTAACATAGTTAATACAAGCCAGAGGGAGGGGGATGACCTTGGAGTGTACACGCAGTAGTAAAGGGAGGGAATAGGGGTACCTATGTGGCAAGATGGGCAGATCCTAAACTCAATATAATAGCCTAACCTTAGTCATCCTTGAATGGTCCCAAGCTTGCCTTCAGGCTCCCCTTCAAGGGAACAATATCAGAAGGGAGTGGGTCCTACTTAGGGTGAGTCAAGACTGTACAGTCTGTTTGCTCTAGATGGCTGCTACCCTTAAGGAGAATAACCTCTGACCTACTTTAATTGGCCTCCTAGTGTACAGTCATTTACCATGTGTAGCAAGCAATGTCTTAGGTTTGGCATATATTTGGGGGCAACAACTTGGGAGAAATCTTTCTGTATCCCACGTCACTTTTTTTGGTGATGGTTCGTTTTCCCAGGCTATTCCATCTTACTCTACAAATGATGCTTAAGGTGTCTCATGTCCTGACTCTGCAGTACCTATGAGTACTGTTGTGTTTCTGCACGTTCACAACGTAATTTCACAAGACAGTAGTTCTGTAACCAAGCAACTTATATGTATAGTATCTGGCGCAAAGTAGTTGCTTGGATGTTTCAGTGAATGAATACATTACTAAATAATTACTAATTAATTCATTAATTCACTCTAGCTTCTCAACTTTTTCATCTCAAAATTATGGGCCCAAAGTTAAGACTTAATTTCCAAACTCAGACTTTCTTTTGTCATCCTCTTTGATCTCATTTTTTCATTTGACACTGATCAAGGACTTCCTCCTTAAAAAAAAAAAAAATCATTGGACACCTCCCTTTTTTTCCTTTACTTTTATTGGGGGCTCTTAACATCTCTTACCACAATCCATACATTCATCCAGTGTGTCAAGCACATTTGCACATATTCCACCATCATCATCTTCAGAGCATTCTCTTCTGAATTGAGCTCCTGCTCTCTCCCCACCTGCGCTCCCTCACAAACCCTTGATTTGATTATTATTTTCATATCTTCCATCACCCTCCATTGCCCTTCACCCACTTTTCGTCCCCTTGGGAGGGGGTTATAGGTTGATCTTTATGCTTGATTTCCCCTTTCTCTCCCCACCCTCCCCTAATTCTGGTATCTCTACTCTCATTGTTGGTCTTGAGAGGTTTATCTGTCCTGGATTCCCTGTGTTTCAGGGTCTTATCTGTAGCAGTGTGCATGCTCTGGTCTAATCTGATTTGTAAGGTGGAATTGAGGTCATGATAGTGCGGGAAAGGAAGCACCAAAGAACTAGAGGAAAGTTGTGCGTTTCATCAGTGCTATCCTGCACCTTGGCTGGCTCATCTCTTCCCTGTGACCCCTCTGTGAGGGGATGTCCAATTGTCTACAGATGGGCATTGGGTCTCCACTCCATGCCCCACCCCCCATTCACCTTGGGTATGATTTTGTTCTGGGTCTTAGATGCCTGGTACTTGATCCTATCGACACCTCATGGTTACACAGGCTGATGTGCTTCTTCCATGTGGACTTTGTTGCTTCTCAGCTAGA